ACGGGCTTAGCCGAGTGTCCACGAAGCGAAACAATGCCCGGCCGGGGGCAGCTGCTTTAAAGGGGCAGCTGCTCCGCGGGACAGCAAAGACAGTCACAGGCCTGAAGAAACAGGCGGCAGAAAGGAGAGGAGGAGAGGGATGGAGACCCTGCCCATCCAGAGACCAGGACTCAGCAGGGTGACTGATGGGGCCCTCGCTCTCTTACTTTTTAAGATGAGGTGGAGGGAGAGGGCGCGTAGTCCCCAAGAGTCGTCCTTTCTCAGAACCCTGTGCAAGGTTCTGCCACACCCAGGTCTGAATGAAAGCAAGAGGCACCGAGGTGTGTGTGTCCCTAATTTCCCCTATTTCTTTCCACCTTTGTCTCTTTTTCTCATCCGAGCCCTGGTGCCTGGGCCTTACACATCCACATACACGTGTACACACGCTTACACATAGGCATTCTGCTAACTCGGCTCCTTTTTCCCATCCTCAGGAGGCATTTATCAACAAGTGGGATTCCTTCCTGGTAGCCTGCCTCCCTCTCTTTTCCCTCCTTCCTTTAACTCCCTCTCCCGCCCCTCCCCACCCCAGGTCGCGGGCGCTGCCCAGAGACAGAAAGTGAGAAAGCACTCTCCCATGGGCAATGGTCATGCCGCAATCCTCTCTCCTCCATTTCTCCCTTGTTTTGAGATCTTGGGCAAGCACACGTCTGTCCTGTTTTTCAAGTCACTGGGTGGGGACTTAAACTGACCCCATTACTGTTAAGATGTCAAAGATTTGAGTTTCCCTCCAAGCTTCACTGTCCTCATCTATAGGACAGCAAGTGGTGAAGACACAATCTAATTCCAGAATCTGGTGCCTGGTGATGGGCATGCAGGACTGTTCAGTAAATCTTGGGTCCTAAGAATGTCCCTGGGGAGTTTTTTTAAGCATTAGTATTACTGTGCATAAGTTAGAAGACTGCAGGCTATCTGGAAATAAGTGCATTCCCTTTCAAGATTAGAGGAAAAGCAAGGGCTGACTGGCTATTTACTTCTCTGTCAACTTTGGCCAGTTTTCGTTTGTCATGGGACCTGACATAAGGTCAGGTCTATTGTATTACAGAATTGATTAACGTAATTAATACTTTTTTTTTTTTTGGAGAGGTTTTTTTTGTTTTGTTTTGCTATAGGGTGTATGCACTCACCAGAAAGACAGAGACAGACAGAAAATGAGAAATCACCCCCCAGGGGTGATGGCCAAGCTGCAATTTCCTCCCTTCTCCTCTTGAGATCTTGGGCACGTACACACATGTGCCCGGTGTGAGTTTAAATCACCAGGTCTGGGACTCGAACTGCAGTCAACTACATGGGAGTCCAACTATGTAGCCATTACGCCATCTGCTGGTCCTGTAATTAATACTTTTAACTTATCCATTCAGTGATTCAATAAGTGCTATGCTAGGCATGAGAAGGAATACTAAGGAATTACCACAAATATATTCTTTTTAAAAATAATTATTTTATTTAACTTTATTTATTTATTTATTCATTTGTTTATTTCAATTTGACCAGAGAGGGACAGAGTGAGAGAGAGAGAAAGTGAGAAAGCAAGCCACCAGGTCCGGGACTCAAACCGTGGTTGGCCATGTGGGAATCCAGTGCCTTTAATCACCACACCACCTGCCGGCCCCC